GCAGCAGCGGCAGCAGCAGCAGGAGCAGCAGTCACGGTAGCAAGTAGCACTTCTATGAAGGCAAATAAAAGATCACTGCAAGGCACATATATGTGTCAAAACACACACAGAGACACACACCACACACACACACACACATACGCACATCTGTAGCTATCAGGCAGTCCACAATGCCAGCAGCCGTGCTAGGCCCCATGCGCCTTCGAAGCCCTTGTTTCGATTGTTGATTGTGGTGCCACCATTTTTGTTTACGGGCATGTTTGCTGCCTGTGCAGCTTCCACATTCATGACCTTGTTCACATCTAAGAAGTGGTTCCTGATGTCTTCGGGCTGGATCCTCCTGCTGTTTCGGCAGCAGATGTGCAGTGTCCACAGCAGTCTGCCATTGTACCATGCCGGGTGGGTGGTTGTCAAAATTATGGTCCCTTTGTTGGGTCCTTATTATAATACGGCACCTATTATGTAGGCTACCCCGACAGAGACCATAATTTTGACAACTTCCCAGGTGCAATGGCAGTAGAACTCACCGGTCGGCGTCACAGCAGCAGCAACTTGCACAAGTACTGCAGCTGACAGCAGTCGCATCTCTGTGCTACTACAAGCTCTTCGAGACTAGAAGGGAGTTCTGTAACTATAGAAGGGAGTTCTGTAACTATAGAAGGGAGTTCTGTAACTAATAGTTCAGACGTCTATATTCATCTACCATACTACGGATTCAACAACAGCTCGCTGTCCTCTTATGATCACGGATCGAAACTGAAAAAAAAACACCCTATACGACCCCTGTAAACAAATACCTCAAACGCCGCTCAAGCCAGATCTTTGCCGGAAGTTGGAGTGGCTATAGAAGGCTTATACCCAGAGAGCCCAACACCCCTTAATTAGGGAATATACCTTAAGTTATAAGGGCCTTAATGTTACAATTTAAGGTATATTCCTTAATTAAGGGGTATTGGGTTCTCTGGGTAGAGCTCTGCTGGAGCCCTGAACTCCACATCACGGGGAGCAAGCTGGAATTCAAATTGATGCCCCGAAACCCAAAAAGCCCGAAATCCTGAATTTCAAAACTCGTAGAACACCTCGTCAGGCTCGTTATATAAACTCATTAGGGAACTTTGGCTCTATTGATTAAGAGCTAAGAGCCTGTTGGTGCATCTTGTTGCAGGTCGCTATCTGAAACCCCCATGCTTGGTTCAGGGCTCCCGGCGAAATTCTCGAGGTTAGGTGGTCAGAGATTAGGGTCTACGGACTTGAGTTTAAGGTTTTAAGGGTTTAGTTAAGGTTCAGACTTTAGGGTCTAGAGTTTAGGGTTGTGGCTTGAGAGTTTAGGGCTTAGGTTTAAGCTTGCGTCCTTGAGCACTGCCACACCGAAGGAGCGGGGAAAAAACACAACACCAGAGCTAAACCTTAAACCCAAACCCCCTAAACCCTTAAGCACACCTTAAACTAGGAAGCTAACTGTAATTCCTGGACCCCGAACCCGGCTCCATAAAGCCGAAATAAACCCCAGAAGCACTTTCATCCCCAAACCAAACCCCCCTACACCCGAGGTACCCTCGGTTTAGGGTTTAGGGTCGAAGGCTTCGGGCCTAAACCCTAAGCCCTAAGCCCGGGGAGCCTGTCTGGCCCGCATCCTGACGCCCGCAAGCATCGCCTTCTTGCAAGCCGGAGAGACGCTGAGGGTTTAGCGCTGAGAGACTTCAGGGTCCTTGCAAACACGGTTTAGAGTTTAGGGTTTAGGGTTTAGGGTTTAGGGTTTAGGGTTTAGGGTTTAGGGTTTAGGGTTTAGGGTTTAGGGTTTAGGGTAGGGTTCTGCTAAAGTCCTCTATGGCATTCTATATGGGAGTTTCAGAAAATAGGGGACCCTAATGGAGTACCCTAAATAGTAAGATCCTGACTATAAGGACCCCAAATAGGGTACCCTAATATTCGGAAACTCCCATATATAGCAATGTGAAGTTCAGGGTGCGAGGCTTAAAAGGCTTCAGAGTGCACCTAGGTCTCCATCGTACTTTATGACTTTATGTTTGCTTAACCCGTTTTTATGCTAGGGTTCGAGCTTTTTATGTTAGGATTCGAGGCATAGAAACCAAACGAAAGACACTAGCTTGGGGACGCCAGTGTTGCGGGGATACGACGTTACGAATGCTCCCTTAACCCTAAGCCCTAAGGTTGCGGCCTTCATAATCAGAACAGGGTTTTGGGTCCTTTGTAAAATATTCCCAATAAGGAAACCCCAGAACAGCATAGGTAACCAGTAAGGCCCTACAGTAAACGCCAAGCCCCAAACCCCGAATCCGACTCTTTTGGCTCCCACCTCCCAGCGAACCCAATACCCCTTAATCAAGGAATATA